AGATTGACTTATATAGATTGATAACCACGTGCGGTATTTTCGACTGTCAAATGTGGGCTCTCGCTACATTCCAATAAATGTTGTGGCATATCATTTAAAACTTAATGTTAGTACATTTTGCCTACGCAGGTTAATCATTTTACAACAATATGACATAGTTAATTGAGCTTGTACATTTTGGTATTATTAAACATGAGGTATGTTTACTTACACACTATTGCCGCAGCAAGGAAACGCACGGCCAAATCCGGAACAGGACAGTCAGGATAAAAAGGTGTTAGAATATACGTAGCTGACGTTATACCCAAAACAGCATATGATCCAGTAATGACAGCTACAAGGCATGTCCATACTCTAAGAAATGCCGTCATAGGTCCAAACGATTCTAAAAGGTATATAAAATCTCCTCCGGATTTAGAAAATGTTGTGCCTAGCTCCCCGTAACTGAGCGCACCAAATGTAGAAAGAACACCACAAAGTATCCATACCACCATCGACAACCCAACGGTATGTGTGTATTCTAATACTCCTTTTGGGGAAATGAAAATACCAGAACCAATAGCTGTTCCAACAATTAACACAGTGTAAGAGAATATTCCAAGTTGGCGGACAAGATTAACTTCTTCGTTTTCTCCCGTGCTTGCTGAAATTGAGGTGTTGGGTTTGATGCTCTGCTTACGTGGTGTGTCCATACTGAAGATTGCTCCTAGCGGTTAGTGCATTATGTGCTTCCCTACTACAGTATCAAGAGTTAGTATGCAGGTCTCTCTTAATCAAACTGATTAAAACTTGTTAATATTGCTGGAGAGTACACGTACATCGATAGACCACTATCTGAATTTATAACAATATTTTATTTGTATAGTGATAATAATGTTCACTAATCTTCTGGACTCTGACATATCAGGCAATTTGGAAGATTTCAAGTCTTCGCTAAACCAAGTAAAATTTTTACAAATGTTGAAATCAAAGTTACCAAACTTTTTACTGGTGATAAGTTGATCATAATGGAATCTATATAGAATAATACAAATGGGTCAATTAATAAACATATACACACATTGCAATAGTAAAATAATGGAAATGTACAGTCCAGAATGACTACTTGGTGTTTGGGCCATACTCTGAAATGACATACGGAAATCGCCAATCTCCTCTCATTAGCTAGCATGTTTTATACATTCTCAAGGTGGTTGTACAGATTAATACTCCTGGATAGGGAGAGACATGTTTAGATATAGGTAATAGTGACTTGCAAAGCGAGGGTTCGAACACCCAACCAGGAGGCCGAGAGTGCGAAGCACAACCGTTGCGCCAAACGCTTCTACCGTTGAAAAAGACAGTGCAATAACATTAAAATAAGATACAAATAGTTGATTCCGTTTTCCCGCTTTATGTTTGATCTATTTATTTATATTTGATTTATTTTACTTTTATATATATATGTATATATATATAATTATATACATATGTATAAAACAAAAACAAAGTGTTTATTTTATAATATAGGCTAGAAAATAATACAGTATATAAAAGGTCGATAACAATGGAGGTTATTAATATTGTAATTATGTTTAAACTATGTTTTGAGATGTAAACAATTATTGTTTATTATATTATAGGCGAAAAGAATTATATGAAACTGTGTATTTTTAAGGCATTACTGCACAAAGCTATGCCAGTATGACTAACTTAAATACATTAAAAATGCCTATGAGTTACATCTATAATACCAACATCATAAGAAGTAGACATTTGAGTTTAAATTGGAATTGGATTTAGTACTTAGACGTGTGCGTTAAGTTAATCTATCGGCAGAATTGCAAAAACATGTTTCGTTCAACTGCAAAAACCTGTTAAAAAATAAGACTAGTTGTGTCCTTTTTTGGTGAAATCTATACTCAAATAGAGGTATTACAAAATTAACCAAATTATTAAATTGGGTCTCTATTTCAAACAACTCATAAAACTAAACTTCCTAGTTTCTTTTGTTCTTGCCACAGTTTTTTTTTTTTTTTTTTATATCTGAGTTTACTATTTACAACACCTCCTAAATATACCATATAACATCTATATAACTCAATAGAATACAATTCATTAAAATGTAATTAATTATATTTAATAATAATTGGCAGTTGGTTCACGTCATTCAGTATATATATTATCATGCATTTTGTTTCATTTGTCATCATTTAATTTGCATACGGTTTTTTTACATTACTTAAGAAATGTTCCGAATACTGCTTTTATATCAGTGGCGCGTGCCCTATAAAACACCTCATAATTTCTGTGTAAAACATGGTCTCGCACTGGCACACATTTATTAACATGCAAACGAATGATTCATAGTATATAAAAAATTCAAGGCAAGTATAGTATCTTGTAGTATCGATTCCACATTAGTATGTTTTTGTTTCTTGTTGAACCACCAGGAAAAGTTTTTGTAAGAAAATCGTCATGTTCTCTGTAAGAAAAAAAAATAGTATGTTATGTTATTTTTTAAGCAAATAGGTATCTAAGATAAATCTTATATTTTTGGCTGTTTTTACTGCGAGAATAAAGTACAGAATATTTAATAAGTGTGGCATCTTTGAGCCTTTTCATTGTATACGGTATATCAATATATTTTGTAGTGTTCATTCGTGAAATAAATAAATATAATCACTTACCCATTCCTTGTGCAATGTAATGCGGTTTATTTTTCCAAAGTACCCCAACGAAATAAACGGGTATACCGGAAATGAGGATCACAAAACCAATCACACACTCTCTTGGTGAAGAATGAAACGACATGGCAACCAGTAATAACGTGATGACTACAAATGTGACTGGAACAAACATAGGCACCTATCAAGCAAATAAATCATGTATAATAAGATATAATCAATTTATAGCAAATGAAATGTGATTTTCTTTCTGTCATCTTCGCTAGTGTCTTTGATTTATAAATGAACAATAAGAACATATAATTATAAATCAGTCAAATGGGGATATAATCTATGCAAACGAATAAGGCAAGCAAAGTGCAATAAAAGTTGCGTAACATAATCACATGAAACTGGAAAAGAATGTAGTATAATTATACATCATAATAAATGGATATTCATTAAAAAGGATAATAGAAAGAATAGTTCAATTAATAAACATATAACTAACTAAATATATTAATACACAATAAATACGGTATACAGCCAATTGGTAAATCAGAGTAATTAAATTCGAATTTACAGAGATTTCACATGTGAAACAAATTTTTGGTTGAAAATTCTTCCAGTCCTTTCAAAGACTTTCAAAGTATACTTAAATTTACCGTCAAGCCATCGACCACTGTGATTACATATACAAAAAACAAGCATCATAAAGTGAATTAATATGTTATTCTTATATTCTTATGTACCGTACCTTGAATGGTCTTTCCCATTCCGGATGTTTCCAGCGAAAATATGGTACAGTTGCCACAGTGAGTGAAACAAACAGCCATCGTGTAAAACTTAAATAGGTGATCAAATTGTAAACACTTTCACCCCAAATCATAGCCAACGAAAGTGGTAACTATTGATAGAAATGTACTAGTTTAAAATTTTAATTGAAATTAGTCTGTATTCTTGATTTGATATGGAAGTGCATTCCATAAGGTGGATTAAGTTGAAGGAATATACACAATCTTTACCAGGGAGGGAAACAAACCAACCAACGTAAGAGGAGAACAGTGTAAGAATAGCCTGCGATTATTTTCAATTTCAAGATCTTTAGGTTCAATCGAGTAAAATGCCAAATTTTATAACATGACTACAAAACAACTAAGCTTTATTGTGATGCGTACTTAATTAGTAGAATTTTATCTTTATTCGAATACTTTAACTGTAATTAATGACTTCATTACATTCTGTTTTGATAGAAAGGAAATATCTTTAAAAATAGCAGACGTACTATTAGACATATCAATTTCGTTATGATAATAGACAGTTAAATCTTTACCCCTTTGATATTCCTGTATAGATCCCACAACACGACAACGCAAACGTACACGTAAACTTAGTTGTTTGTGAGAAAACCTTCGAATTCCTGGTCTTGTCCCAATTGGTCTGTTCTAGTGTTTGATTGGCACTCAGTAATTGTTCTTTACTTACCATGACTGCAGCCGCTGGCAACGGAGTCTTTTTGTGTATTTGAACCATAGACATTACCTGAGGAAGATGTCCTTCTCTTGCTGCAACAAACACAGATCTGTTGGGAAAAGGATTTACTTCATCTTATGAGAAAATATTGAACTTAACACTAGCTCTTTTTTTCAAGCTTTAAGAAACTCCATTACCTTGACGCTGCGAATATTCCTCCGTTTATGGATCCAATACACGATAGAGCAACGGCAACAGAAATTATCCAACTGAAATATCCAAATATTTGGTCTGCAAAACTCTGAAAAAAAAAAATTAGAATTACTACATAAAATGAATCAACTTCTTTACAACAAAAAAACAAAACTCTTTATTACAGAGTAAAAGTTGTTTTTATTTTGTGATTTAAGCAACTTATTGTATAATATATTACTTGGTTCTAATTGGTTAATACCATCCATGTTTATACTACATGTATATGTTAAACCTTTTAAAGTTACTTGAGCTTTAACATTGATAAAGATAGCAAGAGCTATTTAATTCTAAATGATCTTGCGGTAATGCTTTGTACATATGAATGTAAAATTTATAAATATTATATATATA